GTGTATGCATAATAATTCAGGCAGCTAGGGCCATATTTTATCATCTGTTATGTCGAAAGTTTCGGACAAGAACGAGAACTTTTTTTGTATGCTCTTTAGGGACATAGCATTCACTTTTTTGTAGGAACAATTTTATTCGAGCTAATTTTGGTGGTTTTATTGGATTTCAAAATGGTCACCTCGTAAAACCCTTGTTAATCTATATATAAACCAATTGGAATTATAATCATAGTGTCTAAATTTCTTTATATGGTCTAGGAATACTAGCATGTAAACATGCATTTAATGTTATTTCAGGTCAAATATTATAATGGCATCTTAATAACTACATCTGTCATGTTTTAAATTAGAATCATAATATAGCTCTCGAAATTCATTTTTACTAGGAACTACATTATTTCAATCAAAGTCAATTTGGCTGCTATATTTAATTTCAAAATGGCTGCCATGCAAAAAATACCTCAGCTTTTAAACTACCAAAACATAATTCAGAGATGTCTAAGAAAATGTGCTTGTAGTCAAGACATATTATACTACGTGTGACATGGTTAGATGGTCCTTAAAATATTATCATTATTTTACAAAATAATGTTTATAGTACATTGGTTGTTAAACCTTGAGAACTTTTGTGCAGATCTAAACAAAATGGTAAGTTTATTATATTGAACTAATACTTTTTGAATAAAAGTTGTTGTTATATACAGTATTCCTAGTGTGATAATTATTGAAAACCATTAATTCTATGGGAAGCGAATATTATGCATGTAAGGTACTGACCTATTCTGATAGATCTCATATATATGGGATAATTGTAATAATTTCACCCTGTTTTCAATATTTAAATATCCAACCTTGTCAATTTTGCCAATATGGTCACGAGGAAGATTATGAGACAGAGAAATTGGAAACAGTCTATTCATATTCTTTCACCATCATTACACATTGAGGCTCTTCTGTTAGGTAAAACGATCTATCTTAAATTTGCTCTCTTGAGTTTGGGAGTATTATGTGTTTAAATAACTTAGAAGGCTAACCATAAAAATGCGCGCGTAGCGCGCAAACATTTTTTGTGTTTTTAATTATAATTTCGTCGGAATTGATCAAAACTCCCTAAAATGTGCAATTTTTAAAGGAAATTGGCCTACTCTAACAAAAAATGCGCGCGAAGCGCGCGAAATTTGAGATTGTTATGCACTTCATTCACGGGGGTGAAAAGGGCATATTCAAGGGGTGGGGAAAGATTTTCCACAGATGGATATTTTCTCCTTGTACCCCAGTGGTTACACCACTGCGGAGAATATTTACCAGCTTAGATCAAAGGAGCTATTGACACGTTTTAAGTTGAAAAAGGGTTGCAGGGTGTTGTGAGTCTGGTTATTATGATATCTTCCTTTTTATTCTTGTCTTTATTCTTCTCTTCTATTTTTCTTTTCCTTTTTCATTTCCTTTCCTTTTCCTTTTCTTTCTCTTTCCCTCCCTCCCCCCTCTTTCTTTTCTCTTATTACCCAGCCTGGTACGACGGCTTGGTTAGCCCGGTAAAAACCGTCAGGGGTGCAGTCTGTCCCCTTTCCTCCGACTGTCACGCCACTGTAAGATTCACAGTATCAAACGCTTTCTTAACATCGATATGGAGCATTACCTGCAAGATTACCTTATCAAGCTTCAGTTTTTAAGTGATCTTGAATGTTTATAAGACTGGTATCAGTGAAATAGTTACCCCTGATCGAAGATTGGTGGTTAAACGATGTCGTATTTAATAAATAAGAATGAAGTTGCACAACAGATTAAAAAAAATAATTAGACACGGAGAATACTGATAGGACATTAGTTTTCGACTTTCCATCCTAGAATTTTTGTTATAAAGGGACTTCACTTTCGCATGCTTAAATTCCTGGGGAGTAGTAGGCCTACAGTATGTAATGTGGGGGTTCTGGGCTCGGTCTGACATAACCCTGATGACATTATGATTATTTCTCAATTTTTTTTTCTATTTTGGGCGGTGAATAGCTAGGCTACATGATTAATAGCGATTAGAGAACACACCCGCCTAAACCATGGTTGGGGCAGAGGTGCACGAATTTTGAAACATGGCACTGCTATACCTGGAAATAGAAGCCGCAGTCGACAACCTTTTTAGAGCCGAGCCTATTCCTACCCTTCCTTGGACCGTCACTGACTTAGACACCAGGTTTAAAGTTAGTACAAGAATACAAGCCATGCACACCCATCTAAGCTCCACCGTGATGAGCAGCTTTGGATAAATAGCTTCTCTTGACGCCTGGAAGTATCAAATTCATGCTTACAGGTATACAATTAATACATAAATACAAACACTCATAGAGCTAGAAAATACATACCGGTAATAAAAATTGCAAACTGTAGTGGTAAAAATCCCAATATAAATTAGTCTCAAGTGCTATCTTTGCTTTTGGTTTGTAGTACAGTAGTTGTTTCTCAAACATAAAAAGCTAGGCTTAATGAGTATTGCATGGCCTCACAGTGATAATACTGTATTACAAAGAGCTATACACACTTGATTGCATTTAATCAATTCGAGATCAAGTTATTATTAGGGCCGGCAGAACGTTTTTCTAAGTGGAGGGATAGGCCTGTTATGTGTGTATGCATACATTTAAAAAAAATGAGTAGTTGCATACGGTACGTATTCTTTTTTCAATGAATCGATAAGCTCCAAAGAAAAGGCGGGGGGGGGGTCCGTGGGTTCTCTTCCGGGAAAATTTTGATTCCTAGATGGCGGAAAATGAGCCTTTTCCCGACTTCTGAAGTGTCTTAATTACTTTTAAGTTCTTCAAAATTCAAGGTTTTCCCCTCTTGAAAACGGTCAGGTATTTTTTCCCATTTTTATTACAGTAAATAGGCCTTATGTGTGTATACATACATACAATTTTTTTTTTTAAATGAGTAGTTGCATACGAATTTTTCATGAATCGATGAATCCCAAAAGGACAGGGGGGTCCAGTGGCTTCAGGGGTTCTCCCCCAGGAAAATTTTGATTCCTAGAAGGCGGGAAATGAGTTTTCCCGACTTCTGAGGTGTCTTTTAATCACTTTAAAGTTCTTCAAAATTCAAGGTTTTCCCCTCTTGAAAATTATTATAATGAATCAATGAACCCAAAGAGAAAAGGGAGGTTCAGGTTCTTCCCGGGAAAATGTTGATTTCTAAATGGTGGGAAATGAGCTTTCCCGACTTCTGAAGTATCTTTTAGCGACTTTAATTTAAGTTCTTCAAAATTCAAGGTTTTCCCCTCATGAAAACGGTCAGGTAAATTTTTCCCATTGTTATTACAGTGGCCTTATGTGTGTATACATACAAAAAAAATTGAGTAGTGGCATACAATTTTTTTCCCCATGAATCGATAAATCCCAAAAAGAAAGGGGGGTCTGGGGGTTCTCCCAAGGAAACTTTGATTCCTAGAAGGCGGGAAATGAGCTTTCCTGACTTCTGAGGTGCTTTTTAATTACTTTTAGGTTTTTCAAAATTCAAGGTTTTTCCCTCTTGAAAACGGTCAGGTAAGTTTTTACCATTGTTATTACAGTAGATCGGCCTTATGTGTATACATACACAACATTTTATGACTTTTATGTTGTTAAAAATTCTAATTTTCTTATTATAAAAAAAATCAGCTCACGGGTCCTGAAAAGGTAGGTCTAGAATTCTTTTTCTTTCCCCCCCCCCCTTTTTTTTTTGCTTAAGGGAGGGTCAGGACCCATGTCCCCTCTCCCCCAGATTCGCCAATGTGAATTGCGAGGAAATTTAAGTCGGTCGGGTACTGGATAAACATTCTCTTTCCCATCCTTCTCCTCTTTCTTCCATCCATTTCTTGCAATTCCGATCATAAAAAAATTATATATTTTTACCAAAAATTGGGGGGCTCCCCGGCCCCCGGTTCCGCCGGCCATGCTTATTCACCACTTGCCTGTGTCAATCAGTAAATGAAAGTTAACATAATATACCTGCATTTTCAATAAAATGAGAGATCCTATCAGAAAAATTTAATTGAAACTATAAGCATATGGAGTAAAACAATATTTCATATAATGTCAAACGACTGAACAAGGAGTTTTAATATTGTTAAAACGTCCTTGGCTTAAACGGCGTTAGGTTTTTTGATTCAACAACTGCTTAAGATGTAATTTTGTGCAATTTTCTTGTAAATTTCTCTATTTCATTTCATACTGTAATTTTATTAATCAATTTGTAATTTTGATGTATATTTCTCGCAATATATTTGTAAATTTCTCTTTTTCTTTTTATACTGTAATATTATTTATCAATTTATCTTTCGCTTGTTTGTATTTTTCTATATATTTATATGTATTATAAGACATCCTGTAATTGGCTTCCGCTGTTGGATGATTTTCGAAATAAAACTAAATAAATAAAAAGTAAAGGCATTATGCGCTACACAATGCTAGTATACCAAATGCTCATTGACCGTAAAGTTAATAATGCGAGTGCACTTGCTTTAAATCGTGACCCATAGTTTGAATACCAGATCCTTATTGTATACCTATTATCAATTTAAATTTAAATTTTCGTATAATTCAGGCAAATAAGTCCTCTGGCCCATTTTACAAACATACTTTCATAATTATGGTTCATGTATCACACAAGTTTCAGTTCAAATGCTTTACATAAATAAATGCATAATAATCTGGTATTTTTTTTCTATCCAATACAAAAAGTAAATTAAAAAAAGATTCGGAATTATAAAACTTAGTAGGCCTATATAATAAATATTTCTTTCTCAAATCATTATATAGAGCGCATCTTAACAAATTATAATCTACTGTAATTGTCCGTCAAAAATTTAAACAGATATAGTACAACCAAGGAACTATATGCCACATCATTATCTCGTAAAATTCAGGCCAATAAACTTAACTTTTTCCTTTACTTTTCAAGTTGCTTACTTTGCATACTTAAATAAGGTTTCAGTTCAGCTTTTTCAGAAATAATAACTCTTAATAATAGAATTATTAAGAGTGAAACTGCGCTCTATTAAATTAAATTAATTATTGCTCGCTTGATTTTGCCAATAGATTACGATGCCGTCGCAACAATAAATTAGGCTTCCTAAGAAATTACTATTTATCGGTTTTGTAGTTGACAACTTCAATAATCTTTATTGAGCGCAGATAGCGGATACCAGTTTACGAAGAAGTAGGCCTAAAACACTTTTATCAAATATCATGTAGGCCTTACTTTTATTTTCGATTCTTCCATGAACTAACAGAGCGATTCTAATTGGCACAAATGATAGACAGTTTATACTTTGTCACAATTTCTTTATTACTTTATTTTTTACATTGCTTCCATTGCTGTTCAGAACATTGTCTATATTATTGTTTTTAGAACGACGTTCCGCAAACTACGAACCGCGGCCCAAATTTGGGACGCAAACATTTTTGGAGTTCAACGAAGCAGTCTGAGAATTTGAATAAAAAATAACAAAGATACGTTTCAGCATGGAGAAAATAATTGTAATAAAGCCTCTTCATTGTTACAGCGAATGCGCAACTTATAGGCCTACACGCTGCTAAAGTGCCAGATGAATCGTGCTGTTTTTAGTTATAAGCGGTTTTAAGTCTAACCGCAATTGTTTTGTATAGGTGTAATTTTTCTCCTGACGCAAATACAGTTATTGTCTATTCCATCACGACAATAACAATTACTAACAATTACTATCGCAATATTGTTTTGTAAGTAAAACCAAACCACATTGGGGATATCACGCTACTGGATTGTTAAATACTGTATGTGCTATCAGCTATGCGTAGATCTGCAAAAAAGGACTAATAATAAGAAAAATAATATGATAATAATAATAATAATAATAATAATAATAATAATAATAATAATAATAATAATGTATTGGCTCTCTCTTTCAAAGCAAAGGAAGACTCACGCAGGAGAGGTTCGACCATACAACAGAACAAATGTTAAAGATAAAATTCATAACAAAAAAGAAATAATATTAATGAAAAATCCAAATGCAATTAAAATAATATTATTCTAAAATTTAAAATCTTAACTAAAAGGAGAGAAAAATAATAATAATAATAATAATAATAATAATAATAATTAATAATAATAATAACAAAATAAAGTAAATAAAAATAAATAAATAAATAAAAACAAGCAAATAATATAATAAATGCAATGTGAAGTGGATGTAAAAACATACATATCAAATACACAACAGAAGTAAAGTTAATGTCTATTCATAAAATCATGTGAAGAAAGAAAAAAAACTTATAACTAGAAATTGCAAATTGCAAGTGAAGTGCTGCGAAGTACAACTGCATATAAATTTTCTTCGAACAAAATTATTTATGTGAGTCAAGTGAAAATAATGAATAATAAAAATATAACAAATAATATGAGACACGACCCATTGTCTACAGTATATTAGAACACTTCTCATTGGGTAACAAAGTCGTAATTTTTCATTTTTGTCAAAAAGTGTCTATAGTGGTGAATTATGGTTTAGGTTTTTTTTAATAAAGTTTCAAAAATTTCTATGTATTAGCTACATTTTGGGAAAATACAAAAAATGGGTAGGTCAGTAGGAAAACTTTTTTTTTTTTGACAACCAAATACGTATGTATGTGTATACGCCTAAAAAGTAGAACATACACAAGTAATACAACAATTTTGGATTCGCATCGCGTAGGCCTACAATCCAGCAAAATAGCCTAGGACTTGGCCCCCTAGCCTGACCAAGACTATTTCAGCCTTATTTACTCTTTAAATAAATATTGTTCGTTGTAGTCCAAGAAAAAAAAAAAACCTAATATGCCGACCCTGAATTTTGTAAAATTTTGGTCAGTCGGGCGTGGCCAACACAATTTTTTTTGACCTAACAAATCAACGGTTTTTATTTACGCTAATGTTTCAAATGTGTGGACAATATTTAGTATGAATATATATACATATATAATACATATATACATATATATATATATATATATATACATATATATATATATATACAATATTAATATTTAATTAAATTATAGTATACTGTAGTATTTGCAGACTTCGTAGTCTGCACTAATTTCCAAGCGTAGTACAGTACACTGAGTCACTAGGTGGTAGCGAGACGCAACGTTTTATTTGACTAAATCTATTAGATTTAGTCAAAAATAAACTCAGCGCAGTGGATTATTTCCGTACGCCAATTCGAGCATCTCTGGCTATTTCAAGCATCACTGTCGGTTAGTGGCGCTATATATTTTTAATAACCTGATAAACCTTATGAATTTTATATGAGTAACCACGTCGGTTACTGTTTTTGAGTTCTTTTTTCCCAACACGGATTGTGTTTTTCCCCGACAGAGGAACAGTTCTGCCCAAGGGAGGGGTGAGGCAACACTCCCTTTCCCCGCTGCACCCCTGTTTGGTTCAGGTCTCTCTGTTAAATTTCTTTGGCCGTTATTATTCAATTTTCAATTCAATTCAATTCAATTTATTAAAGAAAACCTCCG